ATGATGATGTATCCATTACATAGCCCCACTTCATGTCAACATCCATTTTACGTACTGCAGACTGTGACTCTCTAGTTATAACCTTAAACCACTTCACTTCTGTAATCACAGAATGAAATCTTTTGTGTTCTAATCATCCTTATCTCCTGTTCTTCCACCTTTCTTGTACAACTCTTCATATTGTTCTTTCTTTTTCGTAGATTTCACTGGGATTCCTTATCAGCTGATGCTGCTCTCTTTGCCCTGTCTGTGCCTCCTTTCTTTACCACCTTCTTCCTTAGATAATCCATGGCTCTACTGCTCAATAATATTCTGGCTAGTCTTATAATTTTCCTATACCTGTCCTTTTCTTTCATATCTATCTGGCAAAATCCTATACTCAGTTAATGTAAACATGCCTTTATTCTTTGGGTAACTAGGAGATGGTGGAGAAAATCATTCAGCTGGGCTCTCAGCACTTTAGCTCTCAACAGCGTTTCTCTGGTCACTTCACTGTCCCTTAGTCTGACACCTCAGAACTCTTTATAGTCTTCCAGTTGCATATCTCCCTGTCGCTACCCTCAGTTAGTGACCTCACCCCTTGTTTCATAAAATAGAAGAAGAATTCAGTGGAGCTTCCTCAGCTTCCCTCCACCCAGCCCTCATGGGAACCTGCCTCTGCATCTGTGCTTCTGTTGTGCTCTCAGTCCTTGCTTGTTCCTCCTGTTTATCACCCAGCTTCTCAGATGTTTTCACCTCCTCTGTTTGTTTAATTGGATCCTCAACCCACTCCAGACTTCATTCAGTTGTCATCATAATGCCAGCTCTTGAAACCCACCTTGCAGGCCTTCTTCAATCCTCACCCTGCTCTCTGGCTGTTTCTCTTCTGTCTGTCTAGACTTCAGATGGGGTGGTCTTCAGATTTCTCACCTTTTTTTCCCCTACTCTGAAGTATAAACTCTTCCTAAATTATCTCACTTTTATATTGAATTCAGTCATAGATTATAAGCAAAAGAGTGAATTTTTATCTATAGTTCAGACTTTTATCAGGTCCCCAAGTCCTACTCCGGTGAAATTTCCAATGGGATCTCAAAAGCTTCTTAAAAACCTAAGTGTAAACTATGAGACCTTCCTTTCCCTTATCCTTTAACTCTTAATCATCATATTCAATCCATTACCAACTCCAATAGGTTTTACTACTTAAATATTTATTCAATCTATTTTCTTCCATCTGTGTCATCATGACCCGTAATCTAAGACAACATCATCTTTTGCCATGATCATTTTTGCCTCTTAATTGGTCTATTCAAGTCTAATCTTATCCTCCAATATGTTGTTACTTCACAACCAGAAAGTTTTCTCAAATGCAAATACAATTATTTAAGCCTTTTAGTGACTTCCCATTAGTTTTATAATAAATTATTTCACAAGATCTTGGACTTCATATAGCTCCTTGCCTATTTCTATAGCCTTCACTATGCTGTTTTCCCCTATATTCTCTTATGGCTTATTGCTTCTTTCCACCACAGGTCCTTTGCACACATAGTTTCTTCTGTCAGCAATGACATTTCTCCCAGTTCTTACCTAATTAATGCCTACTTAGTACCTTAGCTCAAAGATCACTCTTATAGAGAATCTTTCCGATTTCTCAGCCTTCAACTGAGATAATTAGGCCCACATATTGTCAGATCCCCATTGTGGCCTATACTTTCCCTTTCTAGTACCTGTCTCTGCTTGTAATTATTTGTGTGAGTGTTGACCAATGTCTGTCATTTTATTGAAATGTAAGTCTTCTGTGATGGACCATAGGTATTTAGCTCATCATTTTGTACCCATTGTACCTAATATCTAACACATCATAAATTATGTTTAAAAAGTATTTTTAAATACACAAATGAATGTGCTTTTAATCAATAGCCATTATAATAATTCTAAAAGTAAGTACTGATCATTCCTACCTTTTAGAAGAAAAAATTGAGGCTCTGAAATTAGGTAACTTGCCTGATATCATCCAGGTTGCATAAATAGTAGATCTGGATTCATTTTTGCTATTTCATTTTTATTATATTGTTTTATTGGGATAAAGATCTATTTTAAAAGATCTGAAGTAGATATTTTATTTCAGAGTTTTGTTATGAAATTAAAATTATTTTTTATTAGTGATGTTAACTGCATGATATGGGGTCCAATGTGAGAAAAAAAAATATCCTCCAGTTTAAATGAACTGAGAATGTGTTAGCAAATTTTAAAATATATATTTTTATCATTAAAAATAATAACATTCAAATATGCTTGTGAGAGGATCTTAAATTAAAAAATGAAGATTATTAACTTATCTATAGTGAAATACTAATTACATAAAAGTGAACACAAAGAGACTAGAAAGAAGTCTACTTGCAGGTAATTCTTCTGGGTGATGGTGTCATGGGTAATTTATTTCATCCTTGTATTTTCTCTATACTTGCCTGATTTTCTATAATGATAATGTGTTATTTTTAAGTTTGCATATAAAATACATTTATTAAATAAACACTGGTGAAATAATAATTATAGGGAAGAAAATTTTAAAGAATACACAATCATACCTTAGTAGTTATAAGAACTGTTTGATAATCTTTAAGTCTGATAATAGTCTGGTGGCTCAGCTGCTAGTCAGTTTTTACTTCTCAATTGATAATCAAGTAGTTGTCTCCTTAAAATTTTAAAATGTTTATATTGATAAAGATATACTTCATGATATGTTAGAGAGTGAAGGAATAAACAGGAATTTCTTCATTTATTAAAAGGAAATTAACACCTTCCAAAAAATTAACTTATAGAATATGTTACTGATCCAAAGTTTTGTAAACCTTTGTTTGTGTTATACTTATCAGCATGTGGTTACTTCTCCCCTTGTTTCCTTCTGATTAAAAACAGCAAACAACCTGTGTAACTTCATACTTATCAATAACTCATTGAGACACCTCAGCTGAAATCTTCTTTGTACCTCACCCACAGTTCTATTACAAGATTCCCTTCTGTAGCTTTAGAAACACTAGTGCATGGACACTAACTTTGCTTTTGCCCTTGTGGACAAGGGAAAATGCTTACAATAGTTCACATGATATCTTCTTAATAGCATTCCTTACCAAATCAAGCAAGAGTAGAATAAAATCTCATAGGTTTTGCATGAAATCTATTTTAGCCACAATTTTGTTATCTGGAATTAATTATTTGATTGATTGCTTATACTTACCAACTATTTATTAATTGCTTATATTCTTTAGATATCATGTTAGGCCTTGTAGGAAGATTAGAAGAGAAAAAAAATACAATCTACCATCACTGTACACCAGAACTTTCTATGATGGAAATGTTCTATACCTGTGCCTTCTAATCCATTAGCCACATGCAGATATTGAATGCTTGACATGTATTGGTGTGACTGTGAGTCTGAATTGTTAATTTAATATTTTAAATAACAGCTTTATTGAGATATAATACAATACTATTTTATTGTATTGTACATATAATTCAATGATGTTTTACTATATGCAAAGTTATGCAGTTATCACCACAATCAATTTTTGAACATTTTCATTACTCTAGCAAGAAACCTGATACTCATAGCAATTGCTCCCATTTTCCCCCAACTTCCCCAGCTCTAGGCAGCTGCAACTTCCCCCCCCCCAACTCCATGGATTCTCCTATTTTGAACTTTTCATCAAAATAGAATTTGGTCTTTTGTGATTCACTAATTTAATTTTAGTTTGTTTAAATTTAATAGTCATATGTGGTGAGTAACTATCATAAGAAGCAAGTGAAGTAATAAGACCAAAGACAGATGCTTAAGGAATGCTGAAGACTGAAGAGAAGAAAATCCTGTAAAAGGTGCATAGGGAAGACAGATCAAAGAGATAGGAGATGAGTCTGGATAAAGTATAGAGCTAAGACAGGATCCTGAAGTAGAGGATGGTTAATTATACCAAATAATGCAGGGGAGTCAAAGAAGCATAGCTTCAGTATGGTGATAGTATAAAGACTCTTGATGCCAAAGGACACTGCAGCATGGTGTTGGTGAGCAAGCATAGGCAGGTAGGCTGTGCTTTTATGTCATCAAGAGATGGAGGGAAGGAAGAAAAATTCAAGACAGCTTGAGAAGGATGTCAGGATTGATGAAAAATGTTTGGTTGCTGTTAGGATATTTTCCTGGAAACTGAAGCCTACCTGTAGGCAGAAGACAGGGATTCAGTCTCTGAGAATGTGGGTAAAGGAAGCACTATGTTTATTAACATAGGAGTAACTTCTACCATAGAGTTAGGCATCATTGTTCTCAGAAGCAGAAGCAAGTGAAGAAAATGTAGGTGAAAATACAGAGCAAATTTTACATAGAAAGAAAGGAAATTCAGAGTTAATATACTTTGGGAAATTTGAATGAGGCCTTCTGAGGGTAAAATTTGGGTCCTCCTGCTGCACTGTGATCCTAACTGGAGAAGGGTGGAGGGAGCATGGGAAGGATCTTCAAATGGTTTGGGGCCATGGGTGTCATGGGTTTCAGTCACTTATATGTCCACAGCTCACTCAACCTTCCTTCTTTCCTCTTTCCTTGCCTCCTTCACTCTTTCTTTTGTTCCTTTCTTTTATCCATCTATTCTTACACTTGTAGCAAACAGTGCCTTTTGCTCTATAGTGTTCTCTGCCCTACAAGAAAAAATGGAAACAAAACATAAAGCTTTTAATCCATATTACAAGGAAAATGAATTTCATGTTATGAGTTATAATAATAAACTAGCATTTTCTTAATTTTTGAGTCACTTTTTTTCCCGATATTGTCATAGTGGAAGATCTAGGAAGTACTTTGAAAATTCTAAATAAAAACAGGTATGCTAATGTAAGAGAAAAAGGTACAAGGTAGTCGATATTGAATTAATTAATAACATTGTTTTAGAGAAAATCTATATAGATTTCTTAGATCCTAAAAATCAACTTTTATGGTCTTTTCAACATGTAAACATATATTTACATATATTTTTCTCTTTTAGGCTTTTAAAACCAAGGATGGCTATTTTGTAGTTGGAGCAGGAAATGACCAACAGTTTGCTACTGTGTGCAAGGTAATCTATAATCATTGGGATGAGTGGATGATATATGCAATAATTCATTTTGTGCAAAGCTAGGGCAAGTTTAGTTTTGCCTAGCACAATGATGCTAAGTCAATAACCAAGTTAGAACCCCGTACATTAGTACCTAAAAATATAGCATTTTCAAACTTATCATACATGATAATGACTGGATTTGAATTAGCACACAATTTTTTTAAATTATAGCATTCAGTTGGATTTTGAAATGAAGAAGTTAGCTTAAATTGTTCTTAAACTTGATATATCTATTATTCAATATTAAAAGGGGAATAAAAGAAAATGAATTTTAAGGCAATATTTAATAATGGGAATTTTCCTCCCCTCCTTCCTTCTCCTAGGTCTTTTGTTTTTATTTAAGACCTTAGATATCAGTTTACTTTTCCCCTCCTTCGCTCTCTTCTTTCCTTCCTTTTTTTCTTACTGTCTTCCTTCTTCCCTTTTTCTGCCTCCCTTTCTTTCTTCCTTCTTCCTTCCTTCCTTCCTTCTTCCAATATCAGGTTTAATTAGGTCCATATATAGTTAAACACTCCCAAATTTATTTTGTTCATCATTAAAAAATTTCTAACTTTTTCAAAAATTAACCTTTGCTTAGAGTACCTTTTATCAAAATTCATGTTTAAAGATTTTATAAATTAAGGTTGTATTAGAATGTTGTTCCTCACCAAGGCCTGAAAAAAAAGGCGTTGGAATCATTTAAAATAACATGGTAGGGATATTCTAAATTTTAAACATTGCTTAGACATTTAAAAAATGTTTTATTATATATATCTAGAACTTTTGTTCTTTGTTTTTACTTAAGACATTAGATATGAGTTTACTTTTTCCAGTTTTATTTTTCTTTTTCTTGCATGTAGAAAAAGAAAAGGCTTTACTTATTGAGAATTTTCTTCTGATTGGAGGACTAGGTTTTTGCTAACCACATTATGGTGAGCTTTCAGCTTTTTAAAAGATGCCTGTGAGTTCCTTGGAGGAAACTTATTTATTATAGTAAATTTATTATGTACAAAAATTATTTATTACTGCACCTCTTTTATATGAGGTTAATGAGAAGAGCTAAAAACCACAGCAAAGTGGTGGGAAGTACCACAGTAAAGGTGACAAATGGAGATAGTTCCGACTGTAGGAAGGGCTGGCACATCTGAGGTGGGAAGGAAGGGAGCTTTTATAATGGTGACTCAGTAAGTGTAGAGAAAATTGATTCAAACATTTGATCTGGGATCAAAGAATCTTTATTATGAACGGTCAATGTTAAAAATATGAAACATACGGAAGTCCTTGCCTGTGAAGTCATTTGCGTACTCTAACTGCAGAGATGTAAAAGCTGGTTCATTGCTCTAAACAAGTACAGATTTTCTTCCTGGGCCATATGTTTTGGAGTTTTCTCTCTCTCTAAAAAAAAAAAAAAAAAAAAAATTAAAAAGGAAAGGAAAAAAAGGTGGGGAGGAGGAGGACTGGTTGACATATTCTTCACTGTTGAAAATAACTATACTGAATACTTTTAATTTTTGATTCATTACTGTTGATCAATTTGAAACTTTTGAACTTCTTTATAAATATTTGTAAGAACATTTCAAAAAAGATTTTTATTTCAAAGCAGAATATTTGCCATAATTGTTAGTACTAAAGTTATGACTTATTGGTATGGTGTGTAACTATATAGTTTTTTTTTTTTAAAAGGCCATCAGAGGCCTGGGAGAATGGCACACCTTAATTTTCCCATATGTGAATCAGAAATGATAATCCCTCTTTGAACCATTAAGGAGATGTCTACAAAAACTCTTTGAGGTACTCTGAAGAATAATTTTGTGTGAATGGGATTTTAGTGTTATTTACATAATTTACTAGGCATCTTGAGTGAGTACTGCAATTTGGTCTTCTCAATCTTCAGAGCGAGTTATATGCTTACATGTAAATCTGTCCTAAAAATATTTTCTTACCAAAGAAAAATCCTATTTTCCTACTCCGATACAAAGTTGTCTTATTCTCCCAGTCATTTTTAGTGACTATAGTTAAGTATTTTTAATTCAAATATGCCTATTGATGAGGGGTTCATTGCTCAAACTGTCCTTATAGAAGGTGAGGTCCCCTTCATTGTTTTTGCTCATTGTTTTTGACAATGAGCCTGTAAAAATTGTTCTTTTTATAAGTAAGTTTCATCAGGAAGAAAGAGACAGCTGTACCTCCTGGGGAGAAATGTGGCAGCATTGTTTGTGATGAATGAATGGGATTTACTTATCCCTTCTCTTTCCAAAATAGAATTTGATATACTGGTTGATTTATACATTTTGAGGAGGGTTTCCATTAGGGAACTCTTAGGGTCAGGGGTTGGAATGGAGCAAGAACATTGGTTCAAGACTTGGCTGTCAGAATGTCTTGCTGTGTATAAAATGAACCTTGGTTTGTAACAAATTTTATTTTATGTCCCTTAACATGATACAGAAGGGTAGGGAAAGTGAGCATATGTAAGCTATTTTAAGCTGATTGATGCCAACACTAATGGGTATTTCTATTTGAAGTATATTGACATCCTTTTAAAAATCATTTAGACTGAAGGCTTCTTTTATTGGAGTCAATATGCATTGGTTCTCAACTTTAGTATGCATAAGAATCTCCTGGAGGCCCATTCTCAAAGACTTGATTTAGTGTGTCTGATGTGGGTCACAGGGAACTTCAATTTTAACAAGCACTGTAGTTGATTTTGGGGTAGGTGGTCTAAGGACACTCTAGCATAATTCTTAAGGCCTATTGTAAATCTTGTTACTAGTCAGGTAACTTCTGGCAAGGTACTGAATCTTACCTAAGTTTCCGTTTCCCCATGTATAAAATGTAGACTAAAACACGTAACTACAATAACTTGCATGGTTTCTTAAGAGTTTGATTAGGTAAGTAAAACAGTACAATCCTGGCTCATAGTATGCACTTTATAAATGGTCTCTATCAAAATTGGATGGGGAGATTGTGATTCTAGCGAGGATCCAGTAAGTACTCTTCTCCCTACTCTTCCACCCAGCACAGTGATAAAACCTATGCAGGATGCATGGAGTATCTGAGGATTCTGAAAAGTGAACAGTAGGAGAATTGAGTAAGAACCTCAGAATTTAGAGTACTTCTAAACTGGCAGTAAATTTACCAGTTTTTCCATTATATGAATACAGTGGAGCCTGAAGCTGTAAAGTGGATGCCAGGCAACAAAGCTAAGATCTAGAGATGCTCTTTATTTCTGGTGCAAGGAACCTGAAAAGTAAGCTCTAATGTAAGAGTGTGGAAGTCCTCTGTTTTTTTCCCTCCCCACTTTCTCATGCCTAGCCCTTGAGTAATCCTGTAAGTGGCAGGAAATTTCATCTTCATTGCTTAACTGAGGTCCTAAAGAAGGGATGAATCTTTATTGCTTTTTCTCTATTTTTCCACTGCTTAGCTTTTCTTCTCTGGCAGTATGCTTTAGAGTGGGGTAACTAATGGGAAGCCCCAGGGAACTGGAAAGTTCTGGAGAAATTGCAAAGAGTGAAAAGCTTTGAAAAGCAATCCTTGAAGTTGTTCCTGAACTCCTGGGCTCACCCCTGAGCTGCACATGCACTGGTCTGATTCTAATTAGCACACCAAACATCTTGAGAACAGGGTTGACAATAGATGACTGCCCCAGTTGTAGTGTGATGGAATGTTAAGTGAGGCATATGTAGGACACATTCAAATAATACTGCAAAGACTTTGAAACTGAACCAACATTAGAACCGAACACATAGAAGGTAATTGGGAAGTTGGACCTAACCAGGTCAGTTGTTTGCAGAAAACAAAAACATCAGAAATGTTCTATAGGGGCTGGGATTGTGGCTCAGTGATAGAGCGCTTGCCTTGCACCAATGAGGCACTGGGTTTGGTCCTCAGCACCACATAAAAGCAAAAAAATAAAAATAAATAAAGTTTAAATAAAAAAAATGCTCTGTAGGATTCAAACAAGACCCAGGGACTCCTGACACAATATTCAAAACATCCGCGATACAGTCCAAAATTACTCAGCATATGAAGAACCAGAACTTGCATGACAAAAGACAATCAATAAATGCCAATGCTAGGACAACACAGATGTTGGAATTAACTCATGAAGACTTTAAAACAGCTATTATAAAAATGCTCTAACAAGCATTATAGACACTGTTGAAATAAATGGAAAAGTAGAATTGTTTAGATAAAGAAATAGAACATATGAAAAAAAGAAGGAAATTCGAGAACTGAAAAGGACAATAAGAAAATAAATAATACTTTACTGGAGATGACAGAGGAAATAATCAAGGATTTGGAAAATAAATCAATAAAAATTATTCAGGCTGAACAACAGATAGAGTAACAGTAACCCTTTTTTACTCTAAATCAATTATTGAACATCTGTATAGAAGAAAATAGTAACCAAAATCAAAATTGATAAATGTAATACTAAAAATTTTCAACAAATTTCTATCTTTCTGGATAGGAAAGGGAAAACAAAAGAATGAAAAAAATAATAAATTTCAATAGTAATCTCAAAGTATCAATAACAACATTAAATGTGAATGACTTAACCACACCAATGAAAAGACAGATGTTGTCAGAAAAGATAGGAAAAACAAAAACAACAGCCAGGTGTGGTGTCACAACCTGTAGTCCCAGTGACTGAGGAGGTTGGGGGAGGAGGATCACAATTTTGAGGCCAGCCTCAGCAACTTAGTGAGATCCTAAGCAACTTAGGAGACCCTTCCTCAAAAAATAAAAATGGACTAGGGATGTAGTTCAGTGGTAAAGCACCCTTAGGTTTAATCCCCAGAACCTGCCAACCCCTCCAAAAGAGTGGAAAGTTAAGGTTTGAGCAGATTTAATAAAAGAAAGGGTTAGCCAACTGAATGTCTGATGGAAGATGTTCCAGCCAAGGAGGTAGTTGACTGTTAAAGTCCTGAGGCCCACATATGGTAGACACATTCCTGTTCCAGCAAGAAGCTAGCATAGTTGCAGTGAGGAACCTAGGGGGAAAATATGGCAGAAGGTGATGTCAGGGGAAACTGACTCTGCTCTGTGGAGCCTTTGAGGCTGTCATAAGGAGGCTGTTGTCAGCTCTTTGTGTCATCAGGTGATGGGAGCACTAGAGTACTTTGCCGTTTCAGCTATCATGTTTTACTATTTTTATGGAGCCAGTCTTCTTTTTCTTCCCTCTCTTCTTTGAACAATATACTTCTTTATCATTTCTTTTAAGGGAAACATTGCTTAGCTGCAATAGTTCACATTTATTTAGTACTCAGTAGTTAAGCATTTTCATAGACAGTTTCATTTCATCCCAGGCAACACTTTTTTTCAAGCCCCTGAAGAATGGATGTGATCACAGCCCCTGAAGACGTCTGTCTAGAAACAGTTTGAACATCGGCCAGCATAGCTGCAGACAGAAGGACAATTACTTTGACCCACCGTTTCACACCAACTTTAAAAGAGAAAAGAGGTTCAAAAAGTCAAATACAGAGGACATGTGGGCACCTCAGTCTCCCTTGAGTGTAGTCACTCTGTACATTTTTATGTAGCTATGGTGTATTCTGGGTGAGGCCAGACTTATAAATTTTACCTATGATTTCTTGAAGGCACTTGTTTTTTCTTGAAATGACTTCTGAACTCCCAGTTGGGGAGGCTTTCTGACCACTGGACAAGCCTTGAGACCATTCTGGGATCAGATGTGTTGATAGTGAGGTTTCTAGCAAAAGCACTGTATTTGGTGTCGCCATTTTTAAAATCTCGAGAGTAACGCTGTCTATATCATTCCCTAAAGGAAACGAGTAAGTGGAACATGGGAAAGAGGAATTACACCATTGAGATGGTCTCTTTGCTCCAGGGAATCTTCTTCACTTCTCTCTCCTTTGTAAGATGATTAATGGATTAATTTTATTTAAACTGTGGGAAACAAATGAAACCATTAAATGTTTATATTGAAAGCAAATACATAATAAAGGCAGTGAAGTTTTCTGTAGGCCACATGGCCTGCCCCCAACCCATAAATGCACCTTCTGACTTTCCAACACAACTGCCAAACCCTGCCTCCACACATTCTTTTCAAAACGTCTTTTCCATTCCAAATCCACTTGGTACTTTCATTATGGTCTTGTTAAAATTGCAAGATGTCCAAAGGGATTTGCAAGATAGATTTTCCCTTTAGTGAGAAGCAGCAAAAGAGGAAGTATATAAAAGCATTTCTAGTCAGTATTTCTTCAGGGAGACATACTAAAGAAAAGTAGTGTCACTCCTATAGGAAGAAGATCTTTTAATTTGATGTCATTTTAATGGTTAGCATTTGGGCAAATGTATGGCTTTCCCTTTATTTTAGCACCTTGTACAACATCCTGGATAGTACTATTGGGACAGATAATATTATTTTATTTACATGTGGAACAAATAAGTGAAGGTACCTATAAGATATATGTTGATTGTGGGCTTCATGTAAGGGCAGGCATGTACTTAGGATTTTGGTTCATAAAATTAGGTCAGTTTTATCTGATTTTGAACCTCTCTCCATATTTTGTTCAGATAAGACTTTTTGCGGATCTGATAACTCTTCTCATAATCTCATATATGAGTACAAGATATTATGGAGGTCTGAAAACTTTTTTTCTGTGCTCTCATTGTAGGCGTATATACATAAATGTAGTGAAACCTTATTGTAAATGACAAACCTATTCATTGGCATGACCCATCCTAATTGTGTGATTGTTTCTTCCATATCCCCTTGTTGAGAGTTATAAAGATCAGAAAGGAATGGTCTTGGAAGGGACACTTTCATAACACTCTAAACTTCTCTTTGTGGGTTTTTGGATCTGAATGAACATGTGAGAGGTTTTTCCATGTTGAAAATTTCATCATATTACTAAATTAGACCCAGTCACTAGGATCCAGTAGGATTTACAGGTACATGAAATACTTTGCATATATTTTTCCCTTTTAGATCTTGAATTTGCCTGAGTTGATTGATGATTCCAAGTATAAAACCAACCATCTTCGAGTGGAGAATAGAAAAGAGCTTATTAAAATACTATCTGCACGGTAAGCTTGGATCTAGTACATATACATTTAAGAATTAATATGCAATAATAATTTATTTGGTGTTTTGTGGAGTCTTTTGTGCTTAGTGAGATTGGTTTGTAATTCTCTTCCACTTCCCAAAATTGGGTTAATGGAAAGCTATTTTAAAGCTATGGTTTTCTCTGTTGTTCAAAGACATTTGAAAGTATTTAAATGTTTTATTCAGTACTTAGTCATAATGATATAAATAAGTCACAATGACTTGAATCAGGTTTCCTCTCTGTGGCTTATAACTGTTTGGATTTAGTATATCATACATAATAATAACAACAATAATAATTTAATATTATTTTGGTTTTTTACTGTGTTAAATGCTCCATACATTATCACTTTTATCACTTATAATCATTGCCTGAGGTAAGTTTTATTATTCTCATCTAACAGATACGGAAACTTTGGCAAACAGAGGGAAAACCAAGAGTTTACTGGTTTTTCTGAATCGCTTGTGTGAATCAAGATGATGATTCTGGGCCATTGAAAATACCAGATTGAGTTATGAGTCATAAAAGATTAATGTTATTTAATGACAGTACTTAATTTCCAAATTATCCATTCATGTCAGGTTATGCTTTTGTATTGACTTTGCCTCAAGGGGGGGAAAAAACCTCTAAACCCCAAAGTAATAATTCCTACTGTATCATAAAAGTTTCACTTTCATTTGCTTCTAAACTTCTCAATCCATAGATACAGTCTTTGTGGATTTTTCAGATCCAAAATGCCCATATGAAGAGTTCTTCCAATTGAAAATTTGTTTTAATCATACAAATAAATTAGGCCTTTTTGTTCAAATACCATATCCCATCTTTTGAAAAGGCCCACTTATTTCTATGTAATATCTATCAAAGTTCTAAGAAAATATAATTGTGCTAATGTTGCTTTTTTGTTGTTCTCTTTATATTTTGGGATTTGTACATGAAATTATGAGTTAATATTCATTTGCTGATTTTCTCTTTCTGGATTTTAAATATTTCTCTACACGGCCTATCCTCTATGTACCAAATGCTGTTCATGTCAATGGGGACTCTGTGTGTGAGATTGATACCCACAGAACAGGGGAATGAGAATTGTGGCCCCTTTCTTGGTCATTAGTTAAATACGATTCTGATTCTACCGCAATGCCCCAGAGCCCTCAATGATTAACCTTTCTCTACATGAGAATTGGCCATTTATTTCAGCCTTTTGCCTCTTTGCCTCTTAAGCATTTTAAATTCATTTAATTCATTGATATGACTTTTTCCTTTCACACCATGGTTACCAAGTTTCAATAATAGCCACTTGTGAGAATCTTATCAAAAGCTCTTTGATAGTCTAAATAAATTATGTCCACGCTGTGAGAAGAGCAGATCCCAAGAAAAATATAAAAACTAGGCAGATATAAGTATCCTCCCATTATTTAGTTGCCAGCACTTTGATAGCTTCAGAAACCACAGAGTTAAGTCATTGGTTTCCTATGTCCTCAAACTTTTATTCCTTGCTAAATTCTGTTATAAAATTTCATTGTGCAAAGACTTTTAGCAGGATGTATTACAGATTTTTATTCTTCTTCTTTGGGGTAAATAAGTCTGTCGCCTTCTTTGCACTTTTGTACACACAGAAATGGGAGTCTCAGCATTTTTGAACTCTTAAGGTCTGTTATATTTCTATCAGACTCAAGAAGATCAAGTAGTCACAGTACACTGAAGGAGATGGGGTTAGTCTGAAGGGAGGAAAATGGGGAGGGAAAGCGCATCATCACAGATACTGCTGTTAAAATACAGCAGTCTGTTTGGAGGCCAGGTTCACGCTCTCTTCTACTGGTTTGTTGACATTTTTTGGTGCTGTCTTATGACTTGCCATTTTCTGAGTCTCTTCAGCTCAAGTCTCTTCTCCTCTCTGTGGATCAAACAGTGATGACCAGGGGAGATTAGAGAATTGATTCCTTCTCATTTATTATTTCATCATTTGCTTTTTTGAACAGGTTGGCACTGGATTCATTGGTGCTGCTTATTGCTTGGCTTTCAGAAGTCTTTGCTAATGTATTGAAATTTATCATTTTCATTCTATGATTTTAGGTTTTTTTTCTAGTACTCAAAAACTTTAGCCATTTTCTACAAATTATGAGATTAAATGTGGTCTCTTTAGTCTGATATCCAGGGTTTTCCACATCTCACATCATCTTTCCTGCCTGCTTTTTCTCCTAATCTGCTTCCATAAAAAGGTCCTGCTCCAGCCACACTCCCATTTGGTTTCTTTTGTTTCTTCTCTGGAATACTTCCCAGACCAGGCGTTCTGTGAAGCACAGTCCCGCCTGAAAGGCCAGTTCTACATCTCCATGAAGCCACCCCTGACATCTCTATCTAGGCTCCCTGTCAGGTGACAGCACCTGCAAGAAAACAGGCATTCTTTTTGTGCCATGTATCTAGCCATCAGTTTTCAAACACAGGCACACTCAGTGTTCACTGTTGCTGGGAATGAGTTTGCTTAGGGGTCTGCTTAGCCTGACCTTCTGGTCTTGTGCATGTTGTTTCTCTCATTTCACAGCCACCTCAGAACTTGGGAATTACTGTAAATTTGTTTCATTAAAAACAAAGCCACAATTAGCTCCTAATCACAAAGAGGAAGCAGGGAGAAAAGAAGGAGAGGAAGCAGCATTTGGTGGATGCTAAGTACAGGCCAGATAAATATTATTATTGTTATTATCTTTCCCACTTTGCAGATGAAAATTCTGAAGTTTAGGGAGGTTATTCCTAAGTACAGGCACATAGTAAATATTTAGAAATGAGACTCAGAAGTTCATGCCTTTTTCATATATCACAATATCATATTACTTCCCTGAAGTGGTACATGATGTTATTGTGTCCTTGTTTGTTTATTTGCTAAGTCAGTATTTACTGAGCACTTACTACATGGCAGCACTTTTGCTAGCCTACCATAGGGATAGAGAAGTGAATGAAACAGACCAATTAAGTTATTGAACAATAATTCAGGGAAGGGAAAAAGAGAATGCCAGAAGTTGGGAGTGAGGCTGGGGCTTTTGCATTTAGGTTGGTTAGGAGGACCTGTCTGATAAAGTGACATATGATCAGAAGCCTGCAGAAAATGAGAGCAGGAGACTTGGAAGACATCTGGGAGGAGCATTCATGATAGAGGTGCAAGGTGGAGGGTTAAGGAGTGGCATAGAAGACCTGCCTGTAGGTGGGTGAGCAAGAGAAAGGGTGAGGAATGGGGTTAGAGAGAGTGGGGTAGATGGTAGCAGATCAGGTAGTGAAAGTCACTATAGCCTTATGAAAAACTTGTAAAATAAAGGAATTCTTTTGAGCATAACATGGGTTTAATTATCAGCGAGTTTGGTTTTCTAGACTGAAGAAAGAAGTCTGGAGGAAACCCTGTACCTGTAGAGATGTCAACGTGTTCCAGTGATGTAGAGTCCATAAGGGCTCCTTTCTTATCTGGAGAGACCAGAAGAAATCATGAGTGTCAGTGTTTTTGCTTCTCATTCAATCATTTGCACACCACTTATCAAATATTTATTAAACACCTACTGTGAACCAGAGACTGTTCTGAATATGGCCTTAAAAAAATAGGCAAAAATAACCTGTCCCCTGGACTTTGATTAGGGTGACCCTTTCAGACTTTCTCAAATACATGTTTCCTTTAGTTGTCATTGTCCTTGTTGTTTTGAAACTTGACACAACAACATTTGTTTTGATGAGCCTAAGAAGTTATTCTTCCATATTTGTCATATAACCTTTTCAAAACATTTGTTTTTTGCTTTTGTAAAAAATATTGTAGCTACAGGCTGTGCCTGCTAATCATTTGTTGTCTGTTTTTTAATTTTTTTTCTTTTGAGCATGTTGATATACATGCTACTTTTTTTTTCCCCAGGGTGGTTTGCCAATCACTTCTATAGTAAAAGCATATGTTTAGTGACAGTAGCTACATTACCATGTGGGTGTACCATGTTTTTGCCTGTTGTCTGCTATTAAACACTACATCATAGGCACTTTTCCTCAATGCTCATACACATTTTCCTCAGCTTATATTTTTACTTTAGAAAATCTTTAAAATATGTAAAAATGTAGCAGGATTTGTGAGAATGAATTAGCAGTGCAGATTACTTTAAAAATAAACTCTAGGAATGATGGATTCACTGCATTTATTAAAAAAAATTCTCACCCTGTAAACCATATTTGATCTCCAAAACTGAAACATTTATGGATTTTGACAGAGTCTGTTCTCTTAAATAGACATATGAATTTCCTCTTGTGCTTCAAAATCTTACTTTGAAATATTTATCTTGAGCAATTTTGAATATTTCCCTCTCTGTCCATGATAAGCATTCATTTAAAATATTGAGAATCAGGTGTTCTCTTTGTGTGCTACAAAACTCATAGACTTTTAGAAGTGCCTGTTAGAGATGTACATCACTTACCTCATTTGTCTGTTGTTCTTGCTAAGTACAGTTTGAGGCTGCTCTCTGATAGCATCGGACACATTCCGGACAGCAGCTGCCTGTTTTGGTCATCAACTATGTTTTCTACAGCCAGCACACACAATTCCCCTCAAGTGCTCTCAGGTGTTGCTATTCCCCAACCATGCCTGTGAGCAAGTCTTTCTTAATTTTTTTTTTTTTTTAACGTGGAAGACTGTCCCCTTGAGCTTGCCATTTTATCCAGAGTGTTGCAGAAAGTCTGTTTACCCAGCTGCTAGCATTGAAACCTAGGTACAGCTAAAGCATATTAAAAATCCCTAGCTAAAACAAGGAAAAAGAAAAATTAATAGAAACTAATTCAGGGCCTTATAAAGCAAAACTCCTTATTTGCAATGCTAAAGAAAAACAAATTCTTAACCCTGTGCTATTGACACACCGGATGAATGATAGTTAGGCATTCAAGAGAGAGATGGAAAGTTGTGATGTCTGCTGAATCTGAGTAGGATAAACATAATGTATTAATGATTGGGGAGAGATAATAATAAGATAT